AAAAAATAATGAAGAGAGGTTGTAAGTAAAGGATAAATCTATTCTTTTCTTTTTCTTATCACGAGAAAGAGAGAAAAGATAATTTTGTGTATGCACGAGTAACAAAAAACGAAGAAAAAAAATAATAAAAAAAGAAAAAAAAAAACTAAGAGAGAGAGAGGGGGAGAGTTGCACATAATCAGCGATATACGCCTTGTACTCTTCTGTGTTACTTACCGCATTAATAAATTGTTATTATTTTTATCGGCTCGCATTTTTACTGGCACCCCTGCTCTTTTTATTATTACCTAATATCGTAACTTACAAGCTTTCAATATTTTACTTCTCCTATTTTCTTTCGTTATAGGAATTTTAAACTTTTTTCAAAAAAAAAAAGAAGTAAAAAATTTAACAGAAATAAATAGACAATCAAATTGCAATTATTAAATTTGTGTAGAGATTTGATTGGACAAAAAAATAAAAAGAAAAAAGTAAATAGAAAAAGTATAAAAATATAACAATTAATCAGATACCACTATATATAATAATAACACGTTTAACTATTATTTTTATCCTCGTTCGTGAAATATACGTACAAGTGAGGAAGACTGTTCAAATAACAAATAAGCTTTCCTCATATAATTTATTTCGAGATTTTTTCTATAATTATTTATAAGTTGCATGCTACGAGCAAATATTTATTTCTTCCTTTCCTTTATTTTTTCTATATTTTATTTGTTCTTTTTTTTCTATTTCTTTTTCTTAAACTAGTAATACTCGCTTTTGTAGTGTCGATAGAGAGTGGTAGAATTATAATACTCTTTCGTTGGAGTGATATATAATTTTGGGAACTTCACAAATATTTTCTACTTTTAGTAGAAAGTACAATTGGAGACGAGTTTGTCAGTCATTGCAGGTAAGTCTATTAGGTAAGCTAATTAAGCAGAAATTTTTATTGGAAAGCTTCGAGAGTAATAGTTAAAGAATAAGAAGTCGAATGAACGAAATGATACGATTGATAGTTTATACAAGATCATACTAATTCCAAATGATTACGTTTTACAGGCAATTGTTTCATCGAGCTCGATGAAGACGATATCATCATTGAAATTGGAAACAACCACAAAATCCAACACTAATATTGATTCCGTATCTTCGAACAAAGTTTTCAAGACATCATCGAAGGTGAAAATTCCACCTGGCGTATTACCGATTCTTATGATAATGGATCAGAATGTTGTTGAAAAGATTGATAAAGAGAAGACCAATGATAAAAAACAAGCAAAGAAAAATGATGAAAATGGACAGAATATTATAACTTTAAAGAAGAAAAACATTGTGCCAGAAGTAAATAGTAAAGAAAAAGAAAATGAAATAGATAAGGATAACGATAACGATAACGATAACGATAACAATATAGATTCACCATATAAAGTTTTATCGGCAAACAAATATGGCGATGATCAGAACGTTGCTGCTAGACGACAAAATGGCAATTGGTTTAAGGTGAAACCAGGTGTACAGGAATTTGGGGAGGAGCCTAATCCGATCGATCGATTAGCTGGGTAATAATTATATATATATTTTAAGTATTATACTTTTAATTAATACTTTTGAGACATACAAATCAAAATGGAATTCACAATCTGTCCCAAACATATTATTTAATTATGCTCAATTGAAGAATTATGTATTCTTGGAAACAGATTATTTAATTAATTGGGTAATATTATTAACAAATAAATTAATTATCAAATAATTCTATAAGATATTAGAAAAATAACGTTTTCCCGTTATCATTGTATACTATTATTGATAACAATAATTTTTATCTATTGCAGATTGGAAAACATAGTTGGTAGACAATTTGATACAGGTGATGAACAATACGTTGGTGCCGATTTTGAACCTCAAGCTCAAAAAGTAGATGATTTGCGTTTGGCAGAGGGTGAAGAGGAAGAAGGTAATAAATAATTGGAGATATTTAATCGATCATACGATCGATGATACACCACAACAAAATAAAAAGGTTTGATATGGTGCTTTAGAAGTTGGACTTACTCTTGAGTATATTTGGTATATTGATTCCACAAATAACATTGGTTTCACTTTATTAACTTTAGTTTTTGAAATATGATAAGAAAATTGTGAGATTTTAATCATATTTAACAATATTTCTTATCTCATATTGGATTGGTAGATTTCTCTGCATAACTTGGGTCAATAAAAAATCATAAATTTTATAAAAAAAAAACCTTGTCGAATTTCAGAACATTATGATGTATTTTCAAAACTATATAGCTGATAGAACAAAACCGTCATTGTATTTTGACAATTGACGTTTCAAATAATACTGCAAAATAAGTTAAACTTTTTAGGCATCAAAATGCCTGATCAACGGACAACGTATATTAAAATAACTTTTAATTTATATATTTTCAGACGAGGACGATCCCGAGGATATCATTTGAACGAAACGAGGATGCGTTATGTGGTTCGATGTTAATAACGAGCGAGATTAATTTTTCACGAGACAAATCAATCACACTTATATACCTTCATTATTTTCGATAGAATATCTTTTTCTCGTAGAAAGTAAATTAGAAATGAAAACATTTTTTTTTTTAAATTAACTTTACGACGAAAGAAAAAATACAATACATAGTTCAAGATAACGCAACAATATTTTGTTAATGACGATCGTAATAAGAAAACTAAATGTGAAAGTTTCTAAAAAATATTATCAAAGAGCCTAGTTTATAAATAATCGTTCTTAAAATATTTCTATACTTTTTAGAAAAAAAAAAAAAAAAAA